TCCCCCTGGGAGAGCGCACTGACCACCAGGGGACAGTTCTTGCATTGAGCATCTGCCCCCTGGAGGTCACTGTGTGTCATAGTGACCAGTCATTCCCAGTCATTCTGCTATTGGGGCCAATTTACATATTACCCTTTTATTGTATAGGATAGAGGCCTGGTGCACGGGCGGGGGCTGGCTAGTTTGCCCTGAAGGGTGTCCCGGATCAGGGTGGGGGTCCTGCTGAGATTCCTGGCCAGCCAGGGTGTGAGGCTGACGGCTGTTTGCAGGCTGGTCACATCCTCTTCAGGGTGGGGGTCCCCACTGGGGTCCCTGGCCAGCCTGGAGGGGCTGGTGGCTGTTTGCAGGCTGGTCACACCCCCTTCAGGGGGGTTTGGCCAGCTTCCTCCGGGGGGCTTGGCCAGCTTCCTCCATCACTGGGGCAACCAAGCTTCCTGCTTGCTCCAGCTTCGTGGCTGCCAGCCACCATCTTGGTTGGGTTAATTTGCATATAATCGCCCTGATTGGCTGGTGGGCATGGCTTAAGTCGTGGCAAAGGTACAGTCAATTTGCATGTTTGTCTTTTATTAGTATAGACTATTTCTTTATATTTCTTTTTCACTTACTATTCTTGTTCTCTTTCCTAATATTCTTTTGAGGTTGTTTTTGATGTCAGGTTCATTTGTATGTTTTTGTTTGTTTCTTGTTTTGTTTTGTCCTATACAACAGCTTGCACAACATGGTGTGGGTGGAGCCTCAGAGCCAGCTTGAGAGGAGATCCCACCCACAAACTGGACAACAGCAGTCAAAACCTAATGTAACAGTAGAGCTCAAATACCTCACGAAAAGGTCATTCCTAGAGCATTCAGCTCAGGAGTTCAAGGAGACCACACTACAGGGTTCCACAGGATATTTACTATAAAAAGACCACCCCACAAAGACTGGGAGTCATAGCTAGTATATTTAATACATAGAAACAAACACAAAGAGACAACTAACAAGGAAGATAAAGAAACAACCCTCAAATGAAAGAAAAGGAGAAATCTCCAGAAAAACACTGAACTGAGATGGAGGTAAGCAATTTATCAGAGTTCAGAGTAATGGTTATAACAGTGCTCAAGGAACTTAACAGAACTACAAGGAATTTATCGGGAACCGTAAGGAAATTCGTGGGAACTACATCAGCATGAAAAGGACATAGAAACCATGAATAAGAACGAGTCAGAAACGAAGAATACTAAATATGACAACTAAATCTTTCACACATATGACACTGAAAGGAATTAAAAGCAGGCTTGGTGAAGCAGAGGGTAGAATCAGTGATTTGGAAGAGAAGATAGGAAAAAGCAATTATAGCAGCAAAAAGAGAAACACTTAAAATGCATGAGAAGAGTTTAAGGGAATTTTATGACCTGTGAAATGGAATAACATCTGCATCATAGTGGTACCAGAAGGAGAAGAATGTGAACAAGGGATGAAGAAACTGAAGAAATAATGACAGAGCCCTGGCCAGTGGCTCAGTGATTAGAACATTGGCCCGCACACCAAAGGGTCATGGGTTCAAATCCCGGTCAAGAGCATATACCTGAGTTGCAGATTCTATCCTAGTTTCTGATCGGGGCACGTGTGGGAGACAACCAATAGATGTTTCTCTCTCATCACTGTTTGTATCCCCATCTCTTCCTTCTTCCCTCCCTCTCTCCCTCACTTCCAATCTATCTAAAATCAATAGAAAAATATGCTTGAATGAGGATTAATAACCACCACGATAATAAGAATAACAAGAGAAAATGACAGAAAACGTTCATAACCTGGTGAAAGAAAAGTCACACAAATCTAGAAAGTACAGAGAGTCCCAATGAAGATGAACACAAATACACTCACACTAAGACACATTATAATTAAAATAGTAAATGTTAAAGACAAAGAGAATATCTTAAGGGCAGCAAGAGAGAGATAGTCAGTTGCCTACAAGGGAGCTCCCATAAGGCTGTCAGATGATTTCTCAACAGAAACTCTATAGGCCAGAAGGGACTGGCATTAAGTATTCAAAGTAATGAAAAGCAAGGGACTGAATCCAAGACTACTCTATCCAGCAAGACGATCATTCAGAATTGAAGATGAAATAAAGAGCTTCCCAACAAAAAACACTAAAGGAGCTTATGACCACCCTACCAGCACTGCAAGAAATGCTAAAAGGACTATAGTAAGAAGAAGAACTAGAAAGAGAGGAACATAGTCATAAAGAATAAAGATGGCAATAAATAAGTACCTATCACTAATAACTTTAAGTGTAAATGAATTAAATGCTCCTAGGGTAACTGAATGGATAAGAAAACATGACCCATATACATGCTGTCTACAAGAGATCCACCTCAGAACAGAAGACTCACACAGAATGAAAGTAAAAGGATGGAAAAAAATTTTCATGCAAATGGAAACGGAAAAAAAGTGGGGGGTAATATTACTCATATCTGACAAAATATACTTTAAAACAAAGGCCATAAGAAGAGATAGAGAAGGTCACTATATAATACTAAAGGGATAGTTCCAACAAGAGGATGTAACCCTAGTAAACATATTTTCACCCAATACAGGAGAATCTAACTATATTAAAAAAAACTCCTGGAGGCCCTGGCCAGTTGCTCAGTGGTTAGAGTGTTGGCCTGTGAACTGAAGGGTTGAGGGATCGATTCCCAGCCAAAGGCACATACCTGAGTTGCACGTTTGATTCCTGGCCCCTGTTGGGGTGTGAGTAACTAATCAATGTGTTTTTCTCTTTTTGATATTACTTTCTTTGCCCCTCTTCTCCCTCCCTTCCATTCTCTCTAAAAAGAATCAATGGAGCCCAGCAGTTGAGCATTGACCTATGAACCAGGAGGTCACAGTTCAATTCCTAGACAGGATACATGCCTGGATTGCAGGCTTGATCCCTGGTAGGGGGCATGCAGGAGGTGGCCGATCAATGACTCTCTCATCATTGAGGTTTCTAGCTCCCTTCCTTTCTGAAATTACTAAAAATATATTTAAAAATTAAAAATTAAAAGTCAATGAAAAACATATCCTTGGGTGAGGATTGAAAAAACAACACTCTCCTGGAGGATTTGAAAGGAGAGATAATGATCAGCAATGCACTTATAGTGGGGGCTTTAATACCCACTGACATCAATGAATAGGTCTTCCAGACAAAAACCAACAAGGAAACAGTGACCTTAAAGCACACACTAGATTAGGTGGATGTAATTGACATTTACTAAACATTTTATCCCAAAACTGCAGAATATACATTCTTCTCAAGTGTACATGGTACATTCTCAAAGATATACATGTTAGGACACAAAACAAGCATTTACAAGTTCAGGGAGGTAGAAATCATATCAAGCATCTTTTTGGATCATAACGGTATGAAACTAGAAATCAACTACAGTAAAAAAACAAACAAACACCTGAAAAACATTCAGACACATGGGTGCTAAATAGCATGTTATTAAACAATGAATGGACTACCAATAAGATCAAAGGAGAAATATAAGCTTCCGGAAACAAATGAAAACAAACACACAACAACACAAAATTTATAGGTCACAGTGAAAGTAGTCCTGCGAGGGAAGTTTATAGCATTACAGGTATAGCTCAAGAAACAATAAATTCAAATAAACTGCTGCAGCTAAAAGAATTAGAAATAGAACAACAAGAAAAGCCTAGTGAATAAGGAAATAATAAAGATCAGAGAGGATATAAAAGATATACAGACTAAAAAATAAATACAAAAGATCAAGGAAACCAAGAGCTGGTTCCTGGAAAAGATAAGCTAGATTGATGAACCATTAGCCAGACTCATCAAGAAAGAGAGGACCCAAATAAGTAAAATGAGAAATGAAAGAGGTGAAGTAACAACTGACACCACAGAAATACAAGAGAATTGTGAGAAAATACTGTGAATATCTATATGCCAACAAACTGTATAACCTGGGTAAAATGGACAAATACCTAGAAACACAATCTTCTAAAACTCAATCAGGAGGAATTAGAAAACCTGAATGGGCTGTTAGGACCTAAATGAAATTTACGCAATAATCAAAAAAACTTCCAGAAAACAAAAGGCCTAGACCAGATAGAGGTACAGGCGAGTTTTACCAAACATTCAATTAATAACAACACCTATCCTCCCTAAACTATTACAAAAAATTGAAGAGGAAGGAACACTTCCAAGCTTATTTTACGAGGTCAGCATTATTCAATTCCAAGGCCAGATAGAGACACCACAATGAAAGAAAATTACAGGCCAATATCCCTGATGAACATAGATGCGAAAATCCTCAACAAAATATTAGCAAATTGGATTCAGCAATACAATGAAACAATTATATACCATGACAATGTGGGATTTGTTCTGGGAATGCAAGGCTGGTACAATATCAGCAGATCAATAAATGTAATTCATCACAAGCAAAATGAAAGATAAAAATCACATGATCATACCAATTAGAATTA